TCTCGTGAGAGCGGCGTCATGCGCAAAACAGAAAAGTTATTACGGGGGCGCACGATACGCAATGATTCCGTTTAAAGCGAGGGATTACGATAAGTTTGGACTGGGTTCATAGTGGAAGTGGAGATGCTGAATAATGCCCCAGTGGCGAAAAAAGCAAAGAAATCCGTCAAGAAGGCGCAAAATGGGACCCCTTTCTTTGCCCGTTGACCTCCGATAATGGACGAGCTAGCAACCAATTAGGAGGTCGTTTGCACATGTTATGCTGATAGCCTCTATCATTTCAGCAAGCATCATGCTTTGATTGATCACGCATCCCATGAAAAGTTATAGGATACACTCTGGAAGTGGAATATCTCGTCACATTGGCAATCGAAGGGCGCTGCTGCTGGGGGCGGAGCACAGACCGTGGCGGGGCTCAGAAAGGAATGGCAAGCCTTGTACGCTGCAACTAGCGCACCTTTGACCACAAAAACGCAACATTTCGTTTCCTTGGGCCCCTGACTACTGCTTCCAATGGTGCATGTACTTTCCACGCTGCATACGCACTTTATCCGTAATCTCATTCTCGCTTCAGCATACGGTCCCAGCCGAAACGCCAAAGGGCTGGTTTGCTTACCTCCCGAATGTCCTCTCTCCCTCTCCCAACAATTACCCAACTATTGTACAACTGTATAACGCCCGCGGGAGTATGGCCATGGCACAATCCATGAGCGCTTATCGCCCTCACACGCGTTTTTATGGCTCAACCTGCGGGCATAAACGTGGCCCTGACATGACTATGCAACTGCTGACAAGGCTTCTTCCTTCACGAGAGGGACTACTGCAGAGGACTGATCGCGGAGTGCCTATGGAAATGTTTTACCACTCCCCAGTAAAGGGCGCGTACGCTTCTCTCCCACCAGAAATAGCGTGACGGCGGCCCCCTGTTCCAGCGGAGTGATCCCTGTCAATTTGCATAATTTTCAAGGTTTTCTACGAATCGGTCGTTTTCTAGGTTTACTATTGTCGCTGCTTTTGCGCCGAATGCATGTGTGGAATACCGAAAAGATTTGGAAGTCGCATAAATACCAAGAGGTAGGGAATATATAATAGTTGAGCCGGCTCGAGCCGTTTACTTTTCTTACTCTGTTTATTATGTTTTTGTGAAGTGAGATGCAAATAACCTGAAGGAATATGCTACTTTCAATGCAAACAGCTCCCCTACAGACTTGAAAATGATTATGTGCTCAAAAAGGAGCTCAGAAAAGAAGCTTACATACTTATTCTTTGTAGAGCGCCATATCTGGCATGACAATTAACCCATAATAATAAATTAATAAGGTGATCTGCCAAAAACTAATATACCAGGAAGTAAGCAAAGCAGCCCTTTTGGCGTTTTTGCTGGGACCGTATGCTGAATGTTGGGGAGGGAATGGGGTCCCCGACGGTCGACGGACTACTTCAACTCGTCGTCCTTATTCAGTGCTTACCTCGGACTAACCAGGAAGGTCTTTCAGGGCGTGCCAAGCTTTTTGAAAACGGTCTTTTGCATGATATAGGGGCAGATGCGGGAACCACAGAACCATGTTCAATTTTTCCTGAACGGCCCTCTGAATACCAGAAAAGGGGGTCCCTAGTTCGATTCCTCGTGGTGACAAATTTTTGCATTTCGAGTTGACGTTCCAAAATTCGCGCAAAATGGAGTTAGCATGAATAATTAGTACCATATTCATGATTAGGGCCGTCAGTAACCCTACAAAAAGACTTTGACTTAAAAATTGGTGTAAGAGGTGTGACACCAAGCAGCCCCACTGTGGTGTCACACCTTTTTCACCAGTTTTTTAATCAAAGTCTATTTGTAAGGGTTACTGACGGTGTTGTGGAGACGTAGATGAGATTGCTTTATTGGGTAGACCACGAATACAATGAATCAACCTCACTTGAGGAAGTGTTTATATAGGCTTCGACAGCCGCTCTGGTAAACAAACACATTAGGATGTGATACTGACTATCTGAGCGGTGAGCCCTCTATAACAGATGTCACTAAAGCGGTTACAACCCACACTTGGCAAATGGGCGGTTGCGGTTCTTGATTTGAAAACGGCGCCCAAAAACGCGGTGAATCTGCACACTTCTTTGTTGCTTGGACACGCCGCACTCCATTAATATCGCGCAGTGTAGCATCCTTAGTTTATCGTATTCGCACTGCCTTTGAGTCTTGTTCTTAATCAGGGTGATGTGATACAGAAGCGTTTCATAAAGGAGGCACTCCATGCTCTAATTCTTGACGCTTTGTCACCATTAATGCACTAAATTCCGGTAGCACTAGTGCGTGAGAAACATCTAATATGACACAGGGAATATTTTGCAGAAGCTCCTCGAAAGTGATATAGGAAAAAAGAAGTTCAAAATTCTGTTCTTCGGTCGTTTATTGACAAGAAGCCCAAGAATGAATGATGAGGACAGAAAGACGGAGGAGAAGAAGAATGAAGGGCATCAATCGAGGAGAATGCCAGACAAGAGTGAAGAAAAGACAAGCTACGGTAATGCTTATAATGTGATCTACTTTTGTAAATCATAAGTGAACCATAATTCATACAAGTCATTTGGAATTTTTCAGGGTGCTGTACAAAAGGAAAAAATTGTGGAAAATGTGATTATAAAGAAGGAAGTTGTTCAAGCTCCACCTGTAAGTTGTTCAATAACTTGTCCCGAATATTTCGTGGCAATATTCTAGATGGGATGGGTGGAGATATGTTACTTTTTTGGCTTGCATAATGTCTCACTATAACGCATGAGCATGCAAATGCTGGTGGCCGATTCCTCCTTTCCTCTGAAGCGCTCATCGAAGCTAACAAGGGAGTCGTTCAGGGTGTGCCAAGCTTTTTCAAAACGGTCTTTTGCATGATATAGGGGCACATGCGGGAACCACAGAACCATGGTTAATTTTTCCTGAACGGCCCTCTGAATACCAGAAAAGGGGGTCCCTAGTCACACCTTTTTCACCAGTTTTTCAATCAAAGTCTATTTGTAAGGGTTACTGACGGTCCTAATCATGAATATGGTACTAATTATTCATGCTAACTCCATTTTGCGCGAATTTTGAAACGTCAACTCGAAATGCAAAAATTTGTCACCACGAGGAATCGAACTAGGGACCCCTTTTCTGGTATTCAGAGGGCCGTTCAGGAAAAATGAACCATGCTTCTGTGGTCCCCATATGTGCCCCAATGTCATGCAAGAAACCATTTTGAAAAAGCTTGGCACACCCTGAACGACCTCCCTTTGTAAGAGACAGACAGCATCAACCGTCGCAGCTAAGTGAAAAATTTCCTCCGTGAAAATGGTACTATATCCGGGAGCAAACTTGTTGTGTCAATTTTTAGCGAAGCAATTTGCTACTATAAGGAAGCTGATATCCAAGGCTGTTTTCCTTGGCTTGAACTTGTCATCAGCGAAACATGCTTCGCTCGGCCCGTCTTCCTGCTCACAGTCGTTTCACAACCTTTGCTTCTCCAGTTTCTTCTCCATCGCTCGTAGACAAACGAGTCAGTTGAAGTTGAGCAGCACTGAGTTGGATGCTTGATTGATGTTGAACGAATAGCGTAGGATAGAAGGGTGCTTAAACCGCTTCCGTGGTAGTCCCTTAGTTTAAAACCCCCATATTTTGCCTTAAACCATTGGACAATCTTGCTTCACATAATATAAAAACTATAAAGTGGCTGGATCACTGCAACGGCAGTGGTAGTTTCGCGAAATTGAAATTGATGTAACCTCCTAGCGCTGCAAACGTGAACCCTGCAGACTATGTATAGGCCCACTACGTGTGTTGCGGTCCTAGCGTCATCGACTTTTGCCGCTCTGCTCCCTCGTGTTGTGGGCCTCACCCGGGTCATGGGATGCCGAACAAAGTGCAATCGTGGCAGCAGCACCGACTAACCTAAAGACCCTCCCATTCCCTCCAAATAGCGCAAGGTTTTTGCGGACAGCTAGTATTATGCTCTACCTTAATGCTAGGTCGTTATGTAGGGCTCTCGTCATAAGTGCCATGTTCATGAATGGTGGCTGATGTCGATAACTACCCCCTAGTCGTCTGAAACGTATAACCCTTCTAATGAAGAATATTCTGTACTCATCTTTTCCCCGCATGCAGAATACTAATTATTCGGTTCTTGAATGATGCCATTGGACTGCAAATATTGACAGACACTGAACTCTGCTATAGTTACGCTGTACTACTTCGACGGTACAAAGTCAGGAAAAAAGGGAGCACCTAACGGGCGGCATGGTGAAGAAATGGCACACCAAATAGGCATGAACGTTGAGTACCATCACCGATCTTGGCACAGGCACAACGAGGATCGTTGTAGATGGTCTGCCTCACTATAAGATTCAGAGCCAATGAGAGTGCACACCCCGTTTCAGTGCGACACTATCATAACAAATGGGCGTGACTCGTAGACGAGTCATCAGGTGTTGAGGCAGAGACCCAGGACAGCTTTCGCGCGAGATTGAACGATTGCATGCTATCGCGTTACTGTCGGGCTAAGCGCATCTGACGGTTGCATGCATTCGTATCGTGGTAAAGCTATCTTTGTCCCTGAGGAAGCATTCTCCTTCGAAGCGTGGGAACGTAATTGGAGCACGGAATCCTATCGGTGGATACCATGGACGTCGAAAAGTCGCGGCAAAAGTCACGACATACCGTCTCCTTCTGTCCCTCTCTCGTCAGCGCACAGCGCTTTTGAACTGCTTGTCTCCTACACCCTTATACCGATCAAAAAGAGAACACAGTTCAGGCCCGTTTTCATCAGTTATTTTTTTGCATTTTTTCTTGCGGGCAGATCCACGAGCGATAATATCTTATATTTGAACTCCTATTGACCCTATTTTTGCTAGTCCGTATGTTTTTAATCATCGACTTTTCTCGATTTGCCACTCAACTTCCTCTGAAGTCCAAACATTTGGGCTCAGTTTATTTTTGTAAAATGCACACTATATGATTTTAGAAGAAGCTGGTAATGGTGATGTATCGTGACCAGAAACACGATTCATTGAGTGGTGACGACGACGATGACGATGCAGAGGCGACTGTTGTGGCTCAACGTGAGTGCAGCGCCTTTTCAAATACGGAATATAATAATGAATATCAGACCATTCAACTTCCCCGTGTTCAGCCGGTCAAAATCCGACGACGAAAAGTGCTACTCAGCCGCCAATCAAACTAGCCGCTCCGCCTCCGAATAGTACACTGAAGTCTGCTCAAACGCAACCTCCAGCTACTATGAAATCGTGCGTCACTCAGCCGCCAGCTTCAGTAGCTCCGAAATCAGCACCACCTACGAAGCCTCCCAATGCTCTAACTGCTACACAACAGAAGCAGTTGCAGGCTGGCATGGTAAGTCAGAAATTCCTTATAAAAGTATTCGCAAACGTACTTTTTGCTAACAAATGCATCACCCAGGTGGTCCTTGGTTGTGTGGGAGACGTTTGTATATGGAAGTGTACGAGATAGCGGCTACTACAAACAAAGAGTCTGCGACGTATCTGTGAGCCCTGCTTACAGCTGCTCGAATCAAGCGTCGTGTGGTTGAACCGTTTGAGTAAAAGCTTGCCTCACTCTTGTAGTGCAGGTGTGCTAAGGCACAGAGAATGAGGCGCGGCAGAAAAAAAAGTATGAGCAGAGAGCGCAACAGATAAGAGAGCGTTAGACAACAGTCTGCTGCGTACGGGGAACATTGCAGCTGCTGCAGCTAATTTAGCACAGCCCAAGCGCTCTGTCGGGTGAACTCCAAGCACGGGAGCTCTGTTGCATGTGTGATTGCCTCTAGGGGTCTATGCCACAGGCTGAAGGGAATCATTCAGTCATCTTCTGCCTGACCGTGCCTTTGAATACTCTTAGGCCGATGTCAGACTTTGCGAATCGCGCGATTCGCTAGCGTCTGCGGTCGCGTCGCGGCCAGTGAATCACTCAATTGGCTGGTACCGCAACGCGACCGCGGACGCTAGCGAATCGCGCGAATCGCTAGTAGCGAATCGCGCGATTCGCAAAGTCTGACATCGGCCTTACAATACGGGTTTATTGTGTGCAATGAACAGTTGACACCGTCTCCACATGATTTTCAGGACGACGATCTTATGGGCGCGAAGACTTGTCGCATCAACAGAAATTTCGAGCAGCGACCAGCAGCACCGGTCGTCAACAAATAGAGTATATTTCATGTCGAACAATCGAAACAAGCCTAACCATTAACTGCTCCTCATATTTATGTACTTGCATAGGCTTTCTAACTATATGCCCGAGTGAACTAGAACTATAGTAAATATTCTAAAGAGCTCAACTAGCGCTTGTACTCGATGTTCACTCTGTACATAATAAATATTGCGCCAGCATCTCATGGTACTCTGGAAAACCGTGCTGCAGAAGAATCTGTACTTTTTCGCAGTGCTTCACGACGTTCAAGTGCGTTTTTTCAAGCACATATTTATTGAAATTGTCATGGGTTCTTGAAAGGCGAACGATTTGTTTTGACTATTTTCCGTGACAGCGTAAAAAGTCAAAACAAACTCAAAAAAAAAATTTTAAAAAATCATTGCTAAAGCTTTCAGGCCTCGCGTTCATTGACGTTCGCCTAACGCAGCTAACTGTTCATCGTGTGAGTGCTGAAATATGTATTAGGTTGTCTCATAAGTGATGTCGTTTTTTTTCAACCAAAAAATTTTCATCTAAATCATGAAACTTTTACATCGTTTTATATATCATTCGAAAGAGAATTGTCTGCTCTACAAAATGCTGTGTTCCGCTTCCACCGCTATTTCAGAGTTTTCGAATTTCAGGCCAGCAAAATGGGAGGTCTCGCCGGCAAAAATTGACCAAACCGACAACTGGCTGTAACTTTATTTTCCCTGGGGAGAAATCAACCAGTGATATACCCTATACTTACCCATGACCTCTTCTAAACATTCCACTCTTAGGTTGCCGAAAAAGCTTTGCCGTTTTTCTTTTCGAATTGGCTGACGGATAAGCCATAGCAATTTTCAAATTAAAATTGTTCCTCGTAAACGTCATTGTTTCATATCGAGTGGTGTTCCTTTTACGAGCACTTCTTCTGCTCTACTCGCTCATTTGTTTTGTTTCTCTGTTTGTTGGGAATTAGTTCGAATTTTAGATGTTTCGGTATAAGGTGCTTTACCGCGAAAGTGACCACATTTCTTTGAAAAAAATTATCCCTTAGAAAATGAGAAAATCAACCAGTCGTACATTCCTAACTTAGTCATGACTTGTTCTTCAAATTCAACCAGTTCTTCAACGTCTCGGCCATAAAAAAATTTCGACCTAGATCACAGGTAATGGTGCTCGATCGTCGAGTTCTGGTTGAAAAACCAGCTCTGGAAATTGAACGACGCGATTTGTAGGAAAACCTAGTAGTGTAATGATTAGAAGAGGTCATGCATAAGTAGAAGGTACATCATAGATTGATTTCTCCCAAGGAAAGATAATGTTAGAGATAGTTGTCGGTTTGGCCATTTTTTGTCGGCCGGACCTCCCATTTCACAGGCCCAAAATTTGAAAACCCTGGAAGAAATGTGGAAGTGGGACATAGCATTTTGTAGAGCAGACAATTCTCTTTCGAATGGTACACAACACGATGTAAAAGCATGGAGGTTTAGATGAAAATTTTTTGGATGAAAAAAAGCGACACTGTTTATGAGACAACCTAATAGTATACTAGGAAGCTGAGTCGGAATGAAATGGTGCCCCGGTAGCGTAACTGGTAGCGCACTTGCCCGGAAAGCGAGAGGTGCGGGTTCTAGTCCCGCCTGGGGCGAAAGTTTTGTTCACAACCCAGCATTCTTGTGAAACATCAACCAAGTGTCCTTAGGCTATAAAAGAAAATAAACGCGTGACGCATGTGAGAGATTATGATTGTTTAAGAACTTGGAAACTTCGAATCGTTAGCGGAAACTATCGAGATCCTGTTCCGATTCGAAATTCACTTTTCGTCATAGAATGCGATTTCTTTCGCTGTGATCCATTTAGCTCATGACCTAACACAATGTATTTGCCTCCTCGTTTCACGCCCTCCGATCCGGGTCAATGGTTTTACCCCGCTGATCCTGACGATCCCCAGCTTTTCGGCGATATCGCAGAACCTGTGAAACAGGTTTCAATTGTTTGCCGATTTCTCGGAATCTTTGGGAGGAGCCAGTGATCTCCATGAACATCCTTGCCTCTTATGGATAAGTTTGTAAATATTGCTCTTTTTCGAAATTTCAAAGAGATACGGTTCATCCCTATGCATGCTGATTCTGTCGTCAGCCAGCCTATTTGATCCGCACTTATTTTGGAGCATCCAATTACCTTAGCTGTGTCGTATAACTTCGTATCTCCAGCTAAACTGAAGTGTCATTAGGCAACTAGACCTGGTCCGCGAGCCACCTGTGTTAAAGGGCCGGCCATATTGCTGTTCTGCACAAGATCAGCCATCACCCTTTAACTGCGGCAAGAAGAGGGCTCTGAATAGAGTTCTTCGAAATAGTGGCTGTAACCCTTCATCGTCCAACCGCTACCACAAACCATGAAGGAGGATTCCAGATAAAGTCGGAGGTTAAAGAAAAATAGTATAACTAGTGGAAAGGGACGATGCGCATTTCACAGCAAAGGGTTTGCCTTCAGCGGCCTAGCAGGTGGAGTCAATGGCGTTGGCACTTTTTCAAAAGTTTTCATCTCCCCCATTTTTTTCAGTGGTCTTGAAACGACCTTTCGATGACCCGTGTTTATGTGAATATTCAATGCACCTTTATTTGTGACTTTATATCGAATAGCAAAATTAAAGCAGAAGAGTGAGACCTTCAAACAGATTTGAATTTGTGGAAAAGATATAAGGGGGAGGGGCAAAAAAGCCATTTTGCCCACTTCGCGCTTCAGCGTTTTTCTTTTTCGTCGCCGAAATTGTCTTCTTTTTCGTCGCGGAAATTGTCGGCATTGAAGGAACTGCTTCAGAAAAATGTTCCCCAAGTGCCCTCCTCCCCTGCCTTACCGTCTTCAGACTATGACGTCGTCTGCATTGGCCGTCGAGCTCAAATTGACCTACCGTAACTGCTTCCAGCCTGAAGCTCTTACGTAATTTCTTGAATCGATTAACTGTTGGATAGTTTTCTAGAGACATTAGCTCTGACTATGCAAACCGTTCCCAACCAAGATTTCAGGAAACGTCGTAATGGTACGTATCCTTCGAAGACCCCATTGAGCTCGACCAGTGCACCATGTTTCCAGGGCAAATTTTTCTGATGCCGTCCACGTAGTGGCCACTATGAAGATTTTTCTTATAGAATGAAATGTGCTCTTCAATTCTAAGTTGGGAGCATTCGGTGTGAGTTCAGTTAAATCCATTTGAATGTGGAGACAAATCGTCTTTTTTATTGCGCCCCCCCCCCCTGTGGAAAAGTTTTCGCAAAGTTCCGGAATATTTTATACACGGAACTCGAATTTTTTTCCTCCTTCGGCTGCTTTGTGTACAGGGGTGGCCAAAAAAAGAGACACTTCACTTCACATTTCAGACAGCATTAATCACACTTTGCTAAACTCAAATCGACTGCTCCCAACTTAGTATTAAAGAGCACATCCCAATCTATCAATAAACGTTATAATAGCTTTCTGCACCAAGGACATCACAAGAATTTGCCATGGGAACCTTGTGCACGGTTCGAGCTCAACTGGTCCTCGGCGGATCATGGACCATTACGACGTTATCTGAAACGCTGGTCGGAAGGGGTCTTGCATATTTAGAGCTACTGTCCCTAGGAAGCAATCCGTCAGTTAACCGATTGAAGAAATTCGTAGCAGCTTCAGGCTGGAACGATTACGGTAGGCCTTCTTGAGCTCAACGGTGATGGAAGATGACGTCATATTTTGAGGACGGTGAGGGCAGTGGAAGAGGGCCTGCTTCTACTTATGGAGGAACTAAGGGATATTTTGCCGTAAAACTTTCATCAACAGCGGCACCCTGTGCGATGAAAAGTTTGATGATGTGCGCCATGGGCAAAGTGTCTCCTTTTTTGGCCACCCCTGTATAAGGCTTAGATTGAGGGATGTGGGTGATGTTTTCGAAAACGAATCCAGGTGAAGCATAAGCGGAAGAGCAACCAAATAGGGTCCTTAATAAGAGTTTAATGAGTTGTGAGAGCTGCTCCTGATTCATTCATCATAGATGGATCTTTTTTTACTTATGAACTCAGCCAATTTTGGGGCTGCCATTGAGCTTTGGAGGGCCATTACAAAGTTATACCTAACACTCTATTGAATCAATCTTTCATAGAAGTGTTTTTCT